AAAACAGTATTAAAAGCTAAAGTGTTAAAAAAAATATTTCATGCGAAATAGCATTTTTTAAAAGTATTTCTGTTTAGAATGAGGGGGGGAAAAAGTATTAAGTTAAGAAATATAGTGTATAAGGTATTTCTCCTGCCTTCTTTAGTGTGCCTTAGTGGTGTGGTGGTTTGCACGCTGGGCGCGTATCTAGAGGTCCGTGGTTCAATTCCCTGAGAAAGCATTGTACATTTTTCATGACTCCTGCTTCCAAAAAATACCTAATGTCTCTACAAGTTATTATTATAAGAGATATGGTTATAATAAACATTTCAACCCAAAGAATATTTTTTAAATATTTCTATTATGAAAGAGGGGGGAATGTGTTAACTTAAGAAATATAGTTAAACCTTTAATAAGTTATGATAAGAACTCAGATTTTTAATACAATTCAGAAATTTTGGAAAAGTATGAACTATCTTTAAATATTAAATTCTAAAGAATAAAAGCAAAATTATGTAGATTCTGAACAGGTAATGCTCAAAGGTATTTGCGATATAATACGCTTAAAAATGTCCATATGAACACTTTTTCATCATATATACTACATCGAGCATTTTCTCTACACTATGGTTCACACATATATATATCAAACATAAATGGATTACAGTTATATGAGCTTAATATGATGAGGTACAACTTTAGTATGAAGAGAAAATTTCAAATGATTATATTGAATATTTTCAAAATTTTAAAAATTTCAAATATTATGGAAATATTTCTATACCTTGAAGAGCATAATTCTTTACTGGATCACTAAAATACTGTTGTAGTTACCTGTTCACTAAAATAAGAATACATCACGCTAATTATTTAGAAAGTAATCCTGTGTTGCATCTTTTGCATCTTTAGTGATATTACATTCATGGCACTTTATTAGGTTAACACTCATGTCACTCTATGGCGTTATATTAAAGCTGTAATGTGTCGTTACATGAATGTCACAGTGCGACTTCACAACAGTATTACAGTGTAACTTCACAACAATATCACAGTGTAACTAAGCATCAACGTCGTAGTGTGACTTCACATCAATGTCGCAATAAGCAGACATTAAGCCTTACCCACAGCGTTACTGTGACATTGAGATCGTCACAGTGTGACACGTTTGCAATGTCATAGCAATATTGCCATGCGATTGGGGGTACTTTCCGTGTTTTCGTACGGAAATGGCCAGGGCTTTGGCAATTCGATAACAACTTTGGAATAATAACATCAACAACAATCACATTAAGTGGCATCTACTGTATGATAATTTCACTTTTTAATTTATAATACTACATCTCTAAAATTGTGTTTTTCAGTAATTCTGTGTACTTTCCAGTAATGATTTTAGTTATATATCTCATTAAAATTTGCAGTAAATTTAGTATACTTGAAATGAATGATTTTTCAGAATATGTATTCAGAACCGTATGTATAAAATTTTTTATATTGTATAATGCCATGTTTGGTATATTTTGCATAATAAGTAGTGTGGGTAATTTCCTATAGTCTTAGTATTTAATTATGTAAAATTAATGTTTTTTTATGTGTGTAAAACATTACTTTGTAAGTATGTTTATTTTTACTCAAAAAATCGTATATTATTGGCTTTGATATCAGAAGTGAAAACACTATGTTACTGAATTACACATTTGTGTTCATTTCAGATTTCATACTCTTATGAAGGTTGTGTAGATAGAAATTGTACTTTTAATGAAGCAGTTGATCAGTCCTTGTAGTAACTACACTCTCTCTCCTGCACCAAAGCAGCTCTTACCTCATGTTTTTCAGAGGCAGCTGAAGAATTGCAGTTACCTCTTTAAGTGCATCCCAGACATGTTCAATCTGGTTAAGGTCTAGGAATGAGACTGGCCAATCCATATGCTGAACATCCCTACTGTGAATATGTCCACTAGTTGAACCCTATGGGTACGAGCATTATTATTCATTAAAAGGAATTGTGAGTCAACTATGCTTCTCAAAAGTCAATAGAGTTTTTAAGATTTACTTTGTCTGCCTTTGATTAGTTAGAGAGTGTCTATCAAGCACATGTGTTACATTGGTCATGTAGCATGATACCTTCCCTGGCCAAGAACACATTTTTCTGCCGTAGTGGCCTCTTCTGTTGATGTTCGAAGATTGGTTATCATGCCTGAGATCCTGTTTGAATGAAGACAAATCAAGAATGTCTAAACTGAATCTTGTCATTGAAGAGAACTTTGGTCGATTGAATTTGAGTTCAAAATTGGATGGTCTCTGCACTGTTTTATGTGTGCTCTGTTGTGTGAGAGAATGAGCTGAATGCAAGAGCAGATCTTTTGGCAAAAGTCCTCTCTCATGAAGCCCATGGGAAACAGTAACCTTTGAAACTAAAATTTCAGTGTAACTATGAGAGAGCTGTGTGGCTATAACTGTCCTTTTGATGTCTGGCTGAAGGCAATAAATACTGATCTTTGTTGGGTATCTTGGCTTTTGGATGCCCTTGCCCAGACCTTCTGAATAAGAAACAGTCCACAAATTCCATAGAGCACTAGATATTACACTCATGTCCATAAATTAAGGATAATGCAAAATCAGGCAAAGGAAGAGTTAGAAGCAAAACAAATTTGACTTATTTGTAAAGCTTATTTATTAAACAAAAGGTAAAGAGCAAAAAAAGATGCTATATGTTTGTTATTATTAAAAAAATTAGCGATTTTTTCCTCCCTGGAGCAAATTACAAAAAAAAAAAAAAAAAAAAAAAAAAAAAAAAAAAAAAAAAAAAAACTATTTACAAAAAACCAATATTACATGGTTGGTATGATTGTTAATACATTGTATGTCTCCCAGACAATGCAATAGAGTCCGTACAATGCCTAGGCATGCTGGGTATCAAATTAGCGATCTGATCTTGGGGGATATTACACCACTCAAAAAGCAATGCTCTCTGAAGTTCCGGTAGACATGTAGGAGGAGGTTGACGGGCTGCAACTTGACGACCGAGCATGTGCCACACGTGCTCTACTTTATTCAAGTCCGGTGAGAATGCTGGCCGGCCAGTCCATACAGGTGATATCCTCCGATTGAAGGCATTTGCTTACGATGTTTGCACGGTTAGGACTGGCATTGTCACCCATAAACACAAATTGTGCGCCCATGGTGCCCCGAAACAAATGTACATGTTGTTCCAGAATGAGGTCCCGATAGATTTGGCTTGTCATGGTTCCAATTTGAACATGCAGGTCAGTTTTGGAACCCAGAATAATTCCACCCCAAACAAGCACTCCTGCACCACCGTAACGGTGTCGTTCAAGGATGTTTTCTTGGTGGTAATGGGGGTACCTGGAGCTCTCCATATGAAAGTACAGTGAGAATCAGACTGCAAGCTGAACCTGGACTCGTCGGAAAACATGACACAAGCCTACTGTTGCGGTGTCCACAATGCATGCTCTCTACTCCAGTCTAACCGCAGGCGACAGTGAGTTGCAATAAGTGGAATGCATCTGACAGGTCTACGAGCATATGGACGAATCTGCCCTAAGCATCTGTACACGGTCTGCCTTTAAATTGTCGTACCAGTGGCTGAAGAGAGCTGACGAGACAGGTCTGAGGCTGTTCTCCGCCTGTTTCTTTTGGCAGTAACTACCAAATACCGGTCCTCGTTCGGCGTTGTAACTCTGGGGCGGCCTATGCTGTAGCGCCTACTCACATTACCATCATCTTGGAATCGTTGCGAAAGCCTGGAGATGACACTCTGGGCAATTCCAAGTTCGTCTGATACTTCCAGTTGGATACGCTCACATTCCAGACAGCCGATAATTCTACCATGTAAAAAATCATCCAAATGCGTCCTTTGTGTCGTAACTATTCGGTTATTTCACTGAAATGCTTATAAAGCGCCTGCGAACAATTTTACTTCTTTGCCTGTATTCCTTATATATCACTCTCTTACACTCTCGTCATTGTGACGTACCATCGCTGTCATCTGGTTGCTTCCTGAAATTTGCGTATGATTCTTGAAGATGTGTGTAGTGATTTTACAGGTGATATATTTATTTTAGAGTTCGATTTCCACGTGACTCCGAATTATTCTTAATTTATGGACATGAGTGTATATTGACCTCATTTCTAATTGCTTCAGGATTGCCCTGCAATTAGTCTTCTAGCAGTTTTCCACTTCAATCCATCATGTAACTGTTGGTGGTTCCCTATTCTACTGCACCTCTTATGAATGTAAGAAAAATGTTGCATCAAACACTAAGATTATTGCCTATGTGTCTGAACAAAGAAATGGTGGAACAACAAAAAAGTGTGCTTTTTATGTATTTTGCTATTGCTGTTACAGTGCCACTAACATATACAAGTGCAATTACTTATTCTGCAACAGCATTATTGCATTATTATTTGATCGCGTATTTTCCGTTTAATTTAAGTATTTTTTGAAAAATTTAGAAATGAGTGTTATCTTAAATTTTGAACACCAGTATATGTTAAGATAATTAAAATAAAATAATACACCAAACAAGTATTAATTTAGAAGTCAAACAACAAAAATCAGCATGATATTTTTTTCACTTTGGCAGCTGAGGATGGTTGTTCGGTAAAACCATCGAAACTACTTCTGTGGAGATTTACAAATATGACTCTGATTTTCGCTGTTTGACTTAAATTAATACCAGTATATGTTTCTTTAAATACTACTTTTTAGATGATGTGTATTTCAAAAACGTTAAATGTGCCAAGTTTTGTCATTACTGTGTATTTACTTGCTGTTAGTTTGAACTAATTTAATGTCCATTAAGCTGTTAATATCACAGTGCAGAAATATTCTTTGGTTTTTATTGACCTTTGGTAATATGTTAATAAATAAGTTAGTGCTTTTTGAAAATATTTGGTGTTTTTTGTTAGTTAAAACTGTAGACAATGTTAAAAATTGTTTTTCACTTGATAGGGAGTATTATTTGTTAACTTATTTAATTTAATTTATTCTAATTTATTAGAGAGGATAGCAGCAGTACAAGTTGGATGTCTCCAAAGAAACAGTCAACTCAAGGCCCTCCAGCTTACTTACTTGCAAACTTGCTGTCTACACCTGGTACCCACCTAGCCAGTTCTCATAATGACACATCTCCTGGAGCAATTCATTGCTTTCAAGATGAGCATGGTAATCTAATCATTATTTTCATTTAAAATTCATATTCATGGAAGTTATATTTTTGATGAAACTAAGAAATTATGAGTAATTTCAGTGGCATTATTTTCTATTGATGTGGTTTTAATTTGGAGAAACAGGGACTGTCTTTTTTTATACTCAAATAACTCAGGTATAAAATAAGAGTATGCATTTTTTACATGCTACTTTAAATATTTTCCTCATTTTTCAGGTAACTGGTTAACGTATACATTTGATGAAAACAGTACAGGCATAGCCAGAGGTCTGGGAACTGCTACTGATGTGAGACTTTTAGAATTCATGATGGATTCCAAGTGGTAAGAAAATTACTTTGGGTGCAACACAATTTTTTTTGGGGGGGGGTATGTGTGTGAATTAGTATATGTACAGGGTGTCCAAATCAAATTTACCTAATTTGGAGAGGTTGCTCTACTTAACAGAGAGTTTAAAAGCATAAGAAAACTCTAAAATTATATACCAATACTCACAAAGTTTTTATTAAACAATGAGTACAATTGCATGTGAGCTTCCTTAGTAGCCCTGAGAATGTTCAGCTGGTAATCCAGTTCCAGCCACGTGTGGTGTAGAATTTCCGAAGTCACAGCAGCAGTAGCCGCTGTTGTGGAGGCACAAAGTTCTTCAATATCACGGATGTTCCCTGAGTAGATTTTGACTTTCACGCAGCCCCAAAAGAAGAAACCAAGAGGAGTCATGTCAGGAGATCTTGGCACCCAGGCAATTCGACTGCCACGTCCTATCCATCGGTTATGCAAATGCTGCGGCCCATCATTTGGTTGCAGTTTCTGCAGAATATGCATCCTCAGTTTTCAATGCAGCACATCATGAATAGTTTATCGTGGCATAGATAATTCAGAAGCTGCCTGATCAACTGACGAGGGCTCCGAACGAAAGCTTGTTGAACATCTTCCACACATGAATCAGAATGTAAACGCCAATCACCTCCGGATCTCTTCCATACACTTCCCATTTCATGAAACATTTTGTGCCACTTTTTTATGCTCTTAGCCTGGGGTGGATTTCTTTCATAAACTGTTTAAAAAATTCTTTGTGAGAACAATTTGTGTCTTCTCTTGTGGTGATGCCATTTTTCTGTTTGCCGACTCAGTAAAAGCACAGGTGCATCAGACGAAAGAAAAAAATACTGTCGCCAAACTGTACGAATTCAGCTCTCACATGTGGCCAATATTTTTTTCATGATGCTACAATCATTTTACATACATTTTTAATCGAATGTTCAAAATAGGTACATTTGATTTGGACACCCTATATGTTACCAGCAAAGTTTGAAATCCGACATTCTGTAGAATGCTTAGGCATTGTATTTCACACATTTCCTGACCATGCCAACTGAGAAACTGGCAAAGTATGAAATAATTTCAGTATCTCTCTCAAAGTATGAAATACATAATAGAAAGTGTCCAAACAGTGGGAAAAGGTTACCTAATTAGATTATGCAAGAAAAAGAGCATCTTTCAAAAACATGGATGAGATTATAGTCGATAGTGGATTAAACCAATGTGATGAAGACATGCTTACCGAAGAGATTTCCATTTCTGATACCTGTTGTGTGTGTTTAAAGGAAACAAGTGATGCTCTTGCATGAAAAAATGTGGTAAAAAAATGCATATCGATGCTCTTGCAAGCAAAAAGTATTGTCAAAATATTCATACCTTCTGTAGCCATGCTAGTGAAGATTATGAAATGGATATTTTGTGCAAGCTTTGTTTCAAAACTGACAATGTTGTTGAAGTTAAAATAAATTCTAAAATCAATCTGGAAATAGAAGCAAAAAAATTAAAATGAAATCGTGAAAAAAAAGTTTCCACTGCTTCTTTGGGAACTACTGTGGAATGATAATACAGTCAAAAGTCGTTAATCTGGACTCGTCGGGACTTCGGCGATTCCGGATTATCGATTTTTCCGGATTATAGATCATCAGTTTAAATCTGGTAAGATGGCATGCAGAAATTATAAAATTAAAAATATGAAACTGTAATTTATGAAATAAAGAACAATTATGATCTAAAGGGTATCAAAATTTAAAAAAAAAAAAAAAAAAAAAAAAAAAAAAAAAAAAAAAGCTTTATTTATTTGTTTACTTTACTTTCTTCGCTATCGGAAGCGAATTATAATGACAAGGAATTTGATTTAAATCATATCAAAGAGTACATTGAGATGAAATACTACATTTAGTAAGGAATTATAAGCCAAATAAAATAAAAACATCTGCCCTGAAGATAAGGATACTGCTGACAGATCAACTTCCAATTCATTGCGCGTGGCGGCGTCCCCCTGCTGCAGAGCAGTGTGAAATTGATAAACACATTTCAGAATGGTTAGATAAACAAAGGATATGCCTTTATCTATTTTTTGCAGCAATCCCACTTTTTGTTTAATGGACTTCAAAACATACTTTCGCTTTGTAGATCCTTTACATATTAGTAAATATATATCGGAAATTCTATTTGACATAATCGAAAGTTCAAGCTTACTTTTATAATATTGGTCTAACAGTCTGCAAAAAATAATAAGCCGGATACAATTTGAAGATTAAGGAACAACGCAGGTCTGCAACATTAACTGAATTAGATAATTTTAGCTTAGCTTATACCGTCCATTATACATTAAACGCGCATGCGTAAACGTATTTTGGGCACGCGCACACACATATTCGCAGCCATAAAGGTCTTACGTGCATGCGTCAACACGACGCATACACAGAAAGTTTGTAGCTTTGAGGTCCGGATTATAGATCAGTCCGTATTATGGGTGTCCGAATTAACGACTGCTGACTGTATAAAGGTTTTCTCTAATAAGTGTGAGCCTGCCCAGTCTTAGCAATTGTTATTTTCTTAGGCTTACTAGGTAATTAGCTTCCAAAGCTTTTTCACTTGAAGTAACAAAACCTTTCACTACTTGTTTACTATTTTTGAACTCTAATAATTTCCTGTTAAGATATTCATCAGATTTATCGTTTAAATTGGCATGTTTAGATTCAAGATGCCTTTTAAGAAATGATGGTTTCATTCTTTGATTGGATAGTAGTTCACCGCAAACAACACGTTAAGAGTCCATTTTATCTCCATTCCAAGTAAACCTAAATAATAAATACTTTCATATATATATATATATATATATATATATATATATATATATATATATATATATATATATATTATATATTTATTCTTAGTGCTGGTAGATTATCCTGAATCTTTGAATTACCACTTTTCCCCTTAGTCAATCCTAGCCATTTTTCCATTTTAAAAATTTATATTTATTTTATTATTTTTTTCACAAATATTTAAATGCACAATACATTATGAGTTCTTCAAAAACAAAGGATGATAGTCTCAAATCGCCTAGAAAAATAAGGAATACGAAGCAATAAGGAGACAAAATACCTGCCGTTAGAGACAGCAAATCAATGTTTAAAAAAAAACTGATTTTGATTGGAAATAGGGTAATATGGCCCGGAAATGGTGCCGACTTAAAGGGTATACATGCTGATAAATCGATAAACTCTGAAAGAATTAATGAGATGCTATTATCTTTTTATAGGAACTTATATTTATTTCCTATTAAATGTATCATCCATTTCTATTACTCCTTTTAAAACAGAATTTATGGCAAATTTTGTAATGTCTATGGCTAAAAAATTTTTGTGAAAATAAAAACTGATTATTTTGCTAAAATCTATGAGTGGCTATTGACCTTGAACAAAACTCAGATCGTATAAATTTACGAATGTTAGAGAAAAAACTTAAACAGGATGTTTTGATAATAACTTTTGAATTTAATAGTTAAAAATACTTTGTTTCTTTGCGTACTGCCTATATTTCTCTTGTGTATCACCAGTGGTCTGCATGCCACCAGTTGAGAATTGCTGTACTAGTGTATTGCCATTCAGTTAAATTTAAGCTATTTGATTTAATTTCAGTTTAATCTATCTGTTATTGATTAACAAACTAAGTGATTTGAAAGCAATAAACACGCTTGTTCATTTCTGTTATTATTATTACACACTGGGTCAATTAAATGACACCACTGTACTCATTGTAATCATTATGTGTTGTTTTCTTTTTTTTATAGTAACTGTTTTACACTGCAGGTTGCACAGGTGGCTAGACTATAAAATGAGCCTCTCTTATTTTGTAATTACTTGTTTAAGAATTTTTTTATGGAATATTTAATTTTAATCTAAAATATGTATTTGAAAGTCATAAATTTTTTTTATAATATCTTCTCAAATTTTGCTTATATTCTGCGACTAATCAATAATTTATTAATTTGATCATTGTTTCACAGAATCTGCAAAATTACATATTTTCAGAATCTCTCTATCTGCAGTGCTAAAACAGTTATTGTAAAATTATATACTTTTTGCTTATGTAATTTTTGTATTCAGTAAATTTCTGGATATGCTTTGATAGAAGTCAAGAATTGTCATAGATTATAACGAATCACATGAGTGAGGAACTGTAAGTTTTGAATAACTCTTTTATTCTCGTAAGTAATGGAAAGTTTGGAAGATGAATTGAATTCTTCATCAGAAAACATGATATCAAAGTCATTAAAAACATTAGATCCAATTTTAATTTTGCTACATTAATAGCAATGGGGTAGGGATAACGTATATGACATTACTTATGGACAATTCTGGATCAGATTAGATATTTCAAGTAAAGTATATAGAAATTATCCTCTAATGAAAAGTAAATAACCTTTGGTAGGGAATTAAATGTCACTGGTTCTACCTTGCTAAATGGCATCTAATTGTTGCTAGGCCTTATTCCATACTGTCACCTGATCTGCTCTAAGTTATCTCAGAGCAGAAGGTTATATGCATACAATTTTCTATCCATATATTGATTTAATCATGCATTCTCAGAGAATTTACTACTAACACATAATCTACGAGGGTTGGAACTTTAATAGTGGCAACTATTTATTTACAAGGAATACAAACGTGATTCATGTCACCATGTTTTACAGTCCTTCAATATAGTCGCCAGCATTGTGTACAACCCATTTCCAATGATGTGGAAGTCGCAGAATACCTGTAGCAGCACCTGTTTTGTTGATAGTTTGAATGGACCGGTCTACTGCCGCAAGAATCTCAGGAACAGTTTGGAAGCGAATGCCACAAAGTGATTCCTTCATCTTAGGAATTAAGTCATAGTCATAAGGGTTTAGATCTGAGGAGTATGGTGGATGGTAAAGCACTTTCCAGCCTCATCGCTTGAACAAATCAGTCACAGCTTGCGCTGCATGCGGCCAAGCATTGTCATGCAAA